CATTCTTATTTTCTTCTCCGTATTCATTCATTTGACCCCATGCTGCTCTCTTATCACTATTTTTTTTTTTTTTTTTTGCCCATTGTAAATGCTCAGTAACTACATGTTGAGTTGCTTTGGAGAGAAGATTATTAATTTACACAAAAGAAAATGTTTTCGGATCAGAGAAGACAAAAATAAAGTATTGGTTAGAAAAGTCAAAGTCAATAAATGCTTCATGAAATGGCTGACAATTCTAGGCTATTATTTTGCTTCTTGAATTTTCTTTTTTTTTTTTTTTTTTAACCCAGGAGGGAGAGGATCTAGAACAGACAGAGTTCCCTAGCCTAGGTGGAAATAGCAAGAGCAAACACATCAAGTGTTGGGCATAACATAATGCCTTTCGTTAGGCTTCAAATTGGCCATGCCTTTGCTCAACTTGGATGGCTTAGACGTTTGCTAGAACTTCAGTTCTGTAGAACTGCTAGAACATCAATAACTAGGCTAATTGTAAGTACTTTTCTGTTTTCTATTCAAAACATCAGCAACATTTCTTTTGCAAAAACTTCCAGATATATAGCACTCCATACTGCTAGAATGTGTTCTTTCTATTCCCTCGTCAAAATTTCCTTCTTCCTTCATCTTTAAAAGTCTGATCAAAGCTTAATTCTTACCTGTGTGTTTCTTTGCCTCTACCTGAGTAAAGTTAATGGCTCCCAAAATTCTGTTCCAAGCATAGTTAACACCTTTGGCAGCTTGTATTATCATCATGGCATAGCCACCTGCATGATGCTCATTATTCCTTCCCCCCACCACAGTGTGAGCTGTAATATCCATTTGTGCAGCCCTGTGATCCAGCCCAGGATCCAGCATCTAGTAGATATTCAATTCATGTTTGTGAAGTAAAACATTTGTTTTGCTTTGGTCTCTGTTCTCTGCTGGTTTTGGTGTGTTTATGTGTGTAATACACAAATAATACAATTGAAGCTATGCATATAAATAATCTTTATGCCAAAAGGCACTGTTGCTAAGATGCCATGTTCTATGAAACAGCAATTTGTTGGTCTCAGACTTTTGGTTACAGATTGAAATGATTAGCTACAGTCTGTGGAAAAATTAAAAGCTAATCACAAAAATGATCTTTATCTAATATGTCCTTCATAAAGAAAAAATATTGCATTTCAAGAAGTTAATATTTTGTCCAATTTACTGTTTTGTTTGTATATTCATGTTTAGCAGAATTTGAATTCTTTAATGCATTCGGGAAAATATGTCTTTTTTTCTTTCCATTTTGACTACAAAACTAGTGATTATTCTAGACCACGACCATCCAATAGAGATTTAATGGGAACCACAAATGTGAGCCACATATTCAATTTAAAATTTTTAGTAGCTACATATAAAAGTGTGAAAAGCAATGTGAGATTAATTTTAATAATATATTTAATTCAATATAGTTGAATAAAGTTTTTAACACATGCTGGCTCAATATAAAATGATATTTATCTTCATTTTCATACTAAGTCTTCAAAATTCAGTGTGTATTTTACACTTACAGCACATCTCAATTTGAACGTAAGTGGCTACATACTATCATACTAGACACCACTGTTCTAGTTAGCTAACATTTACTGAATATTTTCTATATGTTTTGTGTGTCTTATCTCAATTAATCCTCACAACAACTCTGTAGTTGGTAGTACCGGACCCACTTTATAGATGAGCACACCAAAACTTAAAGAGCTTAGGTATTTGCATGAGGGCAGCTATTGGGTGTAGTGGAACTGTGACTGGTCCAATGGGCTTTGACTTCAAAATAAAGCACTGATTTAAAAGGAGAGCCATTGGAAGAGGCAGTATGACAGATTCTGGGACTTTTACAAGATGTTGTAGATTGGGCACAGATGTAAAGACTAATTAACAGCAGGTCACAAGGTGACTAGAAGGAAACATGTTTGAAAGAAGAAAATATTTTGAAGCAAAATGTAGGACAAGGGGCAGGATGGGTTTATCCATATCCCTTGGAGTTCATTTATTTCATGCCACCATGTTTGTTTGGCAACCATTAGATTGCCACATAACTAGAACAGAGTGGCTTCTCTTCCTTCCACCTTAAACTTCTATCTGCTCTGGCGACTGGTATGAATTAAGGCTCAAGTCTTTGAACAGTTCTGATGCCATGGCTTTGTTTTAAAGGTCTGTAAAATATTACCCTGGTATCATGGATTATACAAATGTGCACCAATGGCAGTTTCCTCCTTTTCCTTCACACAATGTTAAAAATGAATAAAATATGTTTCCCATTGCACTTCCCTTGTGCTTGGGGACTCAATGAACTCATTTTAAGTTTCCACATCTTTATAAAAATGTTTTGTTTTTACTGAAACATGTTTTTGATCAAGAACATAATTTCACAATGGCGTGTGTGTTTCTGAAACAAATATGTATATGGAACAAGTGTATGGAGAAGGGCTTAGGCCCTAGTGACTGGTCCCAGAGCTGGAGATTCCTGAGCAGTAACCTCAATCATGCGGATTTCATTTTATTAGCCTAAAGGAATGGATCAGATTTGGCCCTTATTAATTAATCTCTCATTCTCTTCTTCTCTCTAATTTCTGGATTTGAAGAATCGGAAGTATGAATGAACAATTTTAATCATTTCTGTTAAGCTATGTAGAAATTTAACTCTTAAATTTATGGAATGTCATAAACTCCAAACAAGCTCCACAACAGCATTCTTTTTCTTTTTTGACATTTTTGCAGTATGCCTTATTTTTCCAGACGTATTATTTGAATATTGAGAGGCACTGGATCCTAGTCACCCAAAGCTTACTATGCATAGTACATTTTTTATTTTTTTTTTTGAGACGGGGTCTGTCACTCTGTCACCCAAGCTGGAGTGCAGTGGCACTATATCAGCCCATTCCACCCTCCACCTCCCAGACTCAAGCAATTCTCCAGCCTCTGCCTCCTGAGCAGCTGGGATTACACGCATGCACCACTACTGCCTGGCTAATTTTTTGTATTTTTAGTAGAGACAGGGTTTCACCATGTTGGCCAGACTGGTCTCAAACTCCTGACCACAAATGATCCACCTGCCTCAGGCTCTCAATGTGCTGGCATATCAGGTGTGAGCCACTGCACCTACATTTTTTGAAGCAGATAGAAGACATAATCCCTGTAACACATGCTGGCTCAATATAAAATGATATTTATATTCATTATATATTATATTTATATTAGACTTTTAATACCAGAACTAATAACAATAGCTATTTATATTTAAGAAACACTTCATAGACACTTTATGGACTGCTTTACACATTTCTCATTTAATTCTGACGACATGAGAGGTAGATATTGTCTCATTTTGTGAATGAGAACATTAGCTTGTGTAATGTTGTGAAGTTAATAAGTGGTTGAGAGAGTACTCGAATCAAGGTGGGTGCAATTCAAAACCCTGAGTTTGTAAACCGTAAGTTATATATACCTCAGACAAAAAGCTATTATAATACTTTACCAAATTTGTAGGAGTAAGTCTTGATAGTCTTCTGTAACTCTGCGCTTTCACCCCTTTAAGTTTCTTCTGTGTTACAATTTCCACACATTTATGGTGCTTCAGTAAAGGAAAAGCAAATTGATTAAAAAGGCTGATTCTTGTTAATCTTCTTCTGTCCTTTAAAATTATTCCTGTTTATTACTTTCTTTTTATTCCACTTTCCGGAACCCTCAAAAACAAGAGACTGCATAATTTTTTTGCCTTGTTTTAATTGAGGTAAAATTCGCGTAGTATAAAATTAACTAATTTTAAATAAGCAATATAATGACAATTAATACCCTCACAATGTTGTGCTATCATCAAGTCTATATAATTCCAAAATATTTCCACAATTTTGAAGTAAAACTCTGTAACCATTAAGGAGTTTCTTTTCATTAGCCCCTCCCTTTAGCTTCCGGCAAAGTGCAATCTGAGATCGTCTCTATGGAATTTACCATGCTGGATATTTTATATGGTTGGAATCAAACAATATGTGACCTTCCATGTCTGGCTTTCATTTAGCATAATTTTTTCAAGGTTCTTCTACATTATAGCATGTGTCAGTACTTCTTTTTTTTCATGGCAGAATCATATTTAATAGTATGGCTGTACCACAATTTGTTTATCCATTCATCCATTGGTAGTCATTTGATCTGTTCTAACTTTTGGCTATTGTGACTAGTGCTACTATAACCATGTAGTTATTTGAGTGCCTGTTTCAATTCTTTGGGGTATATATATAGGAGAGCAATTGCAGGATTATAATAAATCTATGTTTAACTTTTTGAGGAACTGCCGAACAGTATTCCATAGCAGGTGAACCATTTTACATTCCCACCAGCAATTTGAGAGTGCTCCAATTTCTCCACATTCTCAGTAAACTTCTGGGTTTTTTTGTTTATTTGTTTGTTATAGTCAAGTAGTACTTGACTGTGATTTTGTGTTTCCCTGATGACTAATGACGTTGAGCATCTTTTCATGTGCTTTTTAGCCCTTTGTATATCTTCTTTGAAGAAATATTTATTCAAGGCATTTTCCCGTTTTTATTTGGTTTCTTGGTCTGTTCATTGTTCAGTTGTAACTGTTATATATACCTTATGGATACTAGATTTATCAAATGTATGGTTTGCAAATATTTTCTCTTATATAGGTTGCATTTTCACTTTCTTGATAATGTCCTTTGATATACAGAAGTTTTTAATTTTAATGAAGTCCAGTTTATTTTATAAATTTACCTATTTTATTGATGTATCTACTTTTTCTTTTATTGCTTACACTTTTGGTGTCATAAATAAGAATCCATTGCCAAATTTAAACTCATGAAGATTAACCCATAGGTTTCTTTTCAAAAATTTTATGGGTTTAGTTTTTATATTTGGGTTTCTGATTCATTTTGATTTAATTGTCATATTGTAAGGAAAGGGTCTTGTTTACTCTCTCTCTCTCTCTCTCTCTCTCTCTCTCTCTTTTTAAATCTTCCTAGAAACTCTTGAAAGCAGAGGACTGCATATTTTCAATCTGACGTCACTAACCAAGTCTGAAAACATTTTGTCTGCCACACTATATTTCTATATCGGAGAGCTAGAAAACATCAGCCTGAGTTGTCCAGCGTCCGGAGGATGCTCCCATCATGCTCAGAGGAAACATATTCAGATCAATCTTTCTGCATGGGTCCTCAAATTCAACAGAAACCAAAGTCAACTCCTTGGCTATCTGTCAGTGGATATGGGCAAATCTCATCAAGATATCATGCCTTGGCTGTCTAAAGATATCACTCAACTCCTGAGGAAGGCCAAAGAAAATGGGGAGTTTCTCATAGGCTTTAACATTACCTCCAAGGGACACCAGTTGCCAAAGAGGATGTTACCTTTTCCAGAGCCTTATATCTTGGTATATGCCAATGATGTTGCCATTTCTGAGCCAGAAAGTGTGGTGTCAAGCTTACAGGGACATCGGAATTTTCCCACTGGATCTGTTCCCAAATGGGATAGCCACATCAGACTTGCCCTTTCCATTGAACGGAGGAAGAAGCGCTCTACTGGGGTCTTGCTGCCTCTGCAGAACAACGAACTTCCTGGGGCAGAATACCAGTATAAAATGGATGAAGTGTGGGAGGATAGAAAGCCTTACAAGACCCTTCAGACTCAGGCTCCTGAAAAGAGTAAGAACAAAAAGAAACAGAGAAAGGGACCTCATCAGAAGAGCCAGACACTCCAGTTTGATGAGCAGACCCTGAAAAAGGCAAGGAGAAAGCAATGGATTGAACCTCGGAATTGTGCCAGGAGATACCTTAAAGTGGACTTTGCAGATATTGGCTGGAGTGAATGGATTATCTCCCCCAAGTCCTTTGATGCCTATTACTGCTCTGGAGCATGCCAGTTTCCCATGCCAAAGGTAGTCATTGTTCTCTGTTCTGTACTTCCTTCCTACTTCCATAGGTAGAAAGACACATTGACTAAGTTTAGTGTATGTATAGGGGGTTTGTGTAAGTGTGTGTGTTTCCATTTGCAAAATCCATCTTGACCATTATTTACTGCATTCTAAAGTATCATAGGTAATATGGTTATGCTTTCTTTAATGGTTGTTAAAGTGATATGAAGTCGGTATTGGTATAAAGAAAGATATGAGAAAAAAAAGTATGTGTAAAACATGCTTTTGTGTTGCTTCTCAACATGGTGCATATTCAACCACATAGTTATGTGTGAACCTATACCTGTCCACATAAGCAAGTCCCAGATGGTAGAAGGCTAATCTCTGAGGAATATTCAAGGAATAAGTGAATGTCATGGGAGCACAGAGAGGAGCTAATGGGATTGATGCCCTAATGTGGAATATTTTTTAAATAAATACCCTCTTGTGAGATGAGTTGTTCCCACAGAAGTCAGGATCAGGACTGAGTCAGGTAAACTGGCCTTGTGAAATCCACCACATCCTTAATTCATTTGCTTCACTGATAAACATCAAAAAAAGAAAGCAAAATAGGATATGATGACTCTGTGAACTTTTTCCAAGACTAATTTCAACCTGTCAGAGCTTACCTGTGTCTCTTCCAAAATACTTAAGGTCTGTATTTTATCATATCAGTTCTCAGTCTCCTGACAAATACATTTTCAGAAGTCTCTCCAATCCCTACATCCAACTTGCAAAGCAAGTTCAAGTGACTGTTCTCTTTGAATTTGAGTTTAAATAGTACACTCTATAGTAAAATATAGTAATGCTCTTTAGGCTTCATTTAAGCTTATTGGTTCACTTACATTCTCAGCTTGTAGAAGTTTATATCTCTGTTATTTAAAAAAAATTAGCTTAAGGAACAGAATTCAGAGGAAGAATACTTTTTTTTTTTACAAAATTTGAAATTAGTCAATTTTTGCTATTGTATGATGATGAAGAAAAATTCCTTTGTCTTAACAAGTGATCAACTTCTGCTTATACATCTCTAAAATAGCATTTTCATGTTCTAGCCACATGTAATATTTGGCTATAATCATTGGGATGCCAAGCATAACACACACATAAATGCAAAGGCCTTTAGTCTGGCATAGTGGCATGCCCCTGTAGTTCCAGATACTCTAGAGGCTGAGGCAGAAGGATCATTTGAGTCTAAGAGTTGGAGTGAGCTCTGATTGCACCATTGCCCTCCAGCCTGAGTTACAGAGGGAGACAGTGAAACCCTGTCTCTGAAGAGAATAAAAAAGAAAAAAAAAAAAAAGAAAAGGGCTTACTGCACAGGGCTGGGTTAGCCTTTTCAGGGCCACAGACTTGATTGAAATTTTATTTTTTTATTATCATACTTTTCTAAAACCCTTTCTTTCCCAAGAATTTTTGATCATTTTGTTTCATAAACCCAAGCAGAAAGTATGAATTCTAAATACTTGTAATTATATAAAGAGCCTTGTCTTGTCTAAATATTCATAAAGGATATTTTACTGATCAAACAAAACTTGTTCAACTGAGATAATATTTTAAAACACACACAACAAAGATGTCAAATGTAATAAGCAGTGATGAGTCTTTATTTTACCCTGTGGCTTGCCTTGTGGCATTGAGAGGCAAGAATGGTTTCAAAATCTGTCTTTAAACCCAGAAAAACTGACTTCAATTGGGTCTTGAAGTTTTCTAAATAATCTCTCTCATTTATAAATAATAACATGTTCTGGGTAGCCTGGAGAAGGAATTTTTCTCTTTTCCCCTGAATATAATTTTCAGAACTCAGGAAGCCATGACAGTGCAGAGATTCTCTGTTGGCTTGCTTTTGAACCCCTAGCTCTGGAGAACTGGTTTGGTATCCACCCCTCCACAGTTACTTCCAATTTGTCCCTCCCATCTGTTGGTTCTACTTGCTTTTACTGTTCAGAAACCTGCTGTTGCTTCAGAAGAGCTTTGTCATGGTTCTTAATGATCTAAAGAATAATAATTTAAGAACTGATGAGAAATAAGGCAAAAATAGCAGAAATAAATTTAAGTAGAGAAGTATATTAGTGCAGGAGAATAATTAAATGTACATTCTTGGTCATAGCAGGGCCTCTTAAACCCTAATGTGCTGGCAAACTGCCCTGGATTTAGTTAATATGTACATTTAGATACAGTGGATATAGGAGTAGAGCCTAAGATTCTACATATCTAACAAGTTCCTAGGTGATACAAATGCTGGTGATTCACAAATTACACTTTGTCTACCAAAATTGAAAGCCAAATGCTTTTAGCTTGACTCTTGATTCCACCACTTACCTGCTATGACTCTTTGAAGAAGTTATTCAGACTCTCTACCAGTTATTTGTACAGTTTGAAATGGGTCATATGGTAAATAAAAAAAAATAATAGTTTCTATATAACAAAAACAGTGGGAAAATGAGACAGTAGAGCACCTTGCACATAGTAGGTTCTCAATAAATATGTATTATTGACATTATTATTCATGGCCATTTCTGAGACTAAACAGAAAGAAAAGCAAATGTAGGACTTTGAAGAAAGACTGAGTAGGAAATAAGATCAAGAGAATAAAATTTGTAAGGCAGGAAAATGTTTTCTAAATGTCTCTAGTCCCTTTTCAAATATCACAAAGCTGACAATAGATTTCTCCCTGTGGATTCAACAGTCCATGAGCTCTTCCAAGCAAGTTTCTCTGGAGAGTAAGAGAATCAGGAGAGCATATTTGCAGCAACTGAACTCCTCATAATATTTGTCGAAACTTGGAATGGCATCAGGACTCCAGGGAGACATAACAGGGATAAGTGTGGAGTTTTCTCTCTGAGCTTCAGATTTCCTTTTGCGAAGTTGAGAGTGGAAGTTTGGCTGTTACATAGAGTTCTCAATCTCTCATCACCTTGTGTGGATCTGCTTAACTTTTAAAGCTTTCTAGTGGTTCCCTTTAAGTCTTCCAGGCTTTGTGTCTTTCAAGTGGTACAGTGACCAAATAAGATGAGAAACATGAAGCCAAATGAAGCTGCTACATTAGGGGTCATTCATGCATCCCTGTTATCAGTACAGTGTCCAATACGGCAACCAGAGTGAACTATGTAAATAAAAATATAGTCTAAACAACAGAGGAGAATAAAGGCTGCTGGTCACATCAGTATAAAACATGTGGAATAGTTGAGGTGCCAAAGACCTTTCAGACTTTAGATATACTTTTTGACCCAGAGAAAGTTCTCCCAGGCTACACTGCTTTGTTGGCCCTCCTTTCTTTTGGCCTCCTGAGCCAAAGACTGTTCTATATGGTGGGGCTTTTCGTCTGCAAAAGTTGACAACCTGTTCTGTAATTCAGAACAGCTGTGTTCTTTCTGCCTTTCCCAAATTCCAGGCTTTGCCCTTTCACTGATTCCAATTAGATAGTTTCTGGGCTATCACACCCATGTGGGCTGGGCTAAAGAATTGTGGAGTAAACCTCCATGGCCCAGGTCAGGAATGAAGGCTCTTAGCTGATGACATGCTCTCCCCTGCTAATGCATTTGTAATCAAATTCAACTCGAGGACATCATACACAGCTTGGCAGGTGCAGGCCTGACCATTGTAGATTTCATTCACAGACACAGCAGTTTGGATTTTTTTTTTATTATTTTATTTCTAGCCCTTACAGCCAATCTTCTCCCAGAGAGAGATTCTTGGAATTCTGCCATGAGATGAAAAATACCCATACAGTTAAATCCAAGTTCTGTACCTTTGCCTCTCCTCATCACCTTAGAAAATATGGAAAACAGAAATTTCAAATGAAAATGATTGAGCTGTTGTCGCTGACAGAGATCCAAAAGAACCAACAATAAGGATTAGAGGAATGAAGCGGGTTTTTTTTTCTTTTTTTTTTTTTTTTCTATAAGCAATTGTGCAAAAGCTAGAAATAGCAAACACATAGAATTAGGCAGCAAAGAATCTAAACACTTTGAAACAAATATTCCATATAAAGAAGAAATTCACATTTAATCAGTTAAAAGTGATATACTCTCAATTTCTTGAGTCTTCCAATTCTAATCTCTGGTCATAAAAATGAACCCTAAAAACACTACATCTTGATGTACTGAGTTACCTAAGCAAAAATCTACCTAACTACTGTTGAAGTCGTTTTCACCCTCATTAGAAAGAGCAACTGGTAAGGAAAGTAGTACATATATGCATTATTAATTGATATATTTCTTAATTTTGTAAATTGTTTAGTAAGGAATCATGAGAAACATGATCTGAACTCAGAAACAAATGAAGATCCGGACTGGCAATATGCTTTACACCAGCAAATTACTCCATGGAGCTTTTGCGTATGACGTAATTGCTTCTGGTAATGGCAGGTTGATTAGAGGATTTTGTAGTGAGAAACAAACAAACAAACAAACAACAACAACAACAAAGGGGAAACTCCCTAGTAATCTGCTAGGTTCCTGATAAGACACACCAATGCAGAATGAGGGGCTTCTATCTGAATTTCAGTGAGTCCACTAAAGACTACTCATATACTCATAGTTTCTGAATCTATCATTTATTAGTTGGAGCTTAAAAATAAAAGACAGGAATTTTCCTAGGAAACACCCATGAATATTTTCCATATCTACACCAGGTCATTTGCACAGAAACTTGTATTTTTGTTGATAGGAATTATTTCCACAGAAACGGATAAAATGAAGGGTATGCTGTCTCTTTTCAGTATTTCATCCATTTAGCAAGTAATTATTTTGTGCCTGGATTATACTAGGCACACAGGAACAGGAATGCACAGCAGTATTTATCACCCAAGGTCTCATCTAATTAAGTTGATCCACTTTGTATAAAATTCAAATATTACAGAAGTCATTAAACATTAAAGTAACAGAATAATTTTGGAAAATACAGGTTAAGAATCATTTTTGCTTTCATAAACAGAACAAACAAGCTATTTGGATGATTGACTCATAAAAATAACTTCAAATCAGTAAAGAAAAGTGGATGGCTGCAAAAATTTTCTTTAGAAATTTCCAATAGCAAAAACAAGCAATGACTACTGATATTTGTTGCACAATACTGATTACCATTTGTGTAAGTTACACAGATATTATTGGTGATGCAGGTCATACAATATGCAAAATGAAACAGCATGGACTTTCTTTCCTTAAGGGAGGAATAACTTGCTTTGCAATTAACTAAAGCTAATTAATTAAAAGTTAACCAGCATATACTGAAAATCTCTAGAAAAAAAACGAGTAAGAACAGTTGCCCATCATTAAGACTAATTACTTAGTTCCTTATGCCTAATCACAATAAAGTTGAAGTCTGGTATATGGATTTTATTTCATTGAAATTGAAAGATGGGATGAGATAAATGAGATTTGCCTTTTTTTTTTTTAACAGTATGCCTGCTTTCTATATTATTTGTTTCTCCCTTGGTTTGTATATACCCCTAACTTTTTAACTTGTTTCAGTTTTCCCATGCTGGGAGTTTCAGGAGTTTGAAATTAAAATACCAATTCACTGGGACGGGTGTTCCTCTGAGTCATGAAAAACGTGGCTCAAAGTTCCAAAATTAAAAAGTAAAAGTTTTGATCGAAATCCTACTCCTGAATTGGTCTCTGGCAAGTTACCAAATTTCTGTTTCTCAATGTGTTTAAAACAAAACTATTTTCACCTGCCTAAAAGAGGCATCGGGAAAAACTGGTGTTGCACAGTGTGGCATCTCTTAGGAAGTCCTTCTTACCACTCTGGCAATACCTAACATTCTGGGTTTGCAAAAATGACTGTCCCTTTAGTACTTTTAGCTAGAGTAGAGCTGTATGGGTTCTCTAAATAAAACCACATGCTTTACATGGATGTTAGTGGTCCCATTTGGCTTTTTCTCAGGGAAAAGATTCTTACCCAGACTTCTTTGGTGAAAGTTATGGCATCGTAGAATAACTTCAGGCCCTGGTAATTCCCAGAGGTAATCCCCGGAGTACATGGCTCACTTTAGAACACACCACTACCATGTTTAATTCTAAACCAGTGGAGTAATAGTGACCCCCAGTGGTCAGTGGTGTGGTCTTTCAAGCCCCAGTTTGTGCTTCTAGAGAGTTGAATAATTACGTAGTGGAATAGTCACCATACAATTCATCCTGGCAACTCTTAGTGGAATAGTCACCATACAATTCATCCTGGCAACTCTTAAATAAATAAATATCCCTCTGACCTGCTTGGTTTTATTTTAACAATGCTTAAATATCACTATAGCAGTGGCAATAATGTATCTCTGTTAAGTAGAGTGCTTGTTAGGGTTATGATTAATACAGGGTCAAGAACAAATCATTTTTGTTGCAATCCTGTTATTGAAAACACTGTAGAATGTATTAATTCCATGTTTGGGGACTAAGTTGTTTGTAATTAAATGATTCTTGCTGAGATAACTGGGTTTAAATCCTCTACCATTTACAAGCTATATGACCCTAGATATGTCATTTAAGCTTTTTGAAACTTTGTAAAATGTAAGAAATGTTAGTTTTGTTGTAAGAATTAGAGATACTATATATAACATGCCTGGAATGCAGCAGGCACTTAATAAATAATAACCATTTTGGTAGTGTGGTAGAGGAGATTGGCCTGAATGTATAATGATGCTACAGGTTTAATTAAATTGTTGAAACATATTTATTATACATGTATTTTATGAAATGAGGACTGAGGAGTGGAAAACCAGTTCCACCTAACACATGTGTTCTTCCTTTATTTCTTTTTCTAGTCTTTGAAGCCATCAAATCATGCTACCATCCAGAGTATAGTGAGAGCTGTGGGGGTCGTTCCTGGGATTCCTGAGCCTTGCTGTGTACCAGAAAAGATGTCCTCACTCAGTATTTTATTCTTTGATGAAAATAAGAATGTAGTGCTTAAAGTATATCCTAACATGACAGTAGAGTCTTGTGCTTGCAGATAACTGCAAGCAATGGCAAATAACTCATCTGAATGCATAATTCAATCATTAGTTTATTTTTACGAACTTCTTCTTCTTTTTTTTTTTTTTTGCACTGCCAATGCATTTTGTTTCAAAAGATTATTAGATTATTTCTATAGTCAGATGGGAATGAGCAAATAGATCGAAGATTTTCCCCAAGCAGGACTGTATTTGCTTCTGAATGTAACTTAAAGCAAAATTTTAGTAAATATGGACATCTATTTCTCTTTTTGTAATCAAACACAAAAACTTATCAGACTGTTTTTGGAACTGTTAGAGAACACACTGGTTTATTTTTGTAATGGGCTTTGAAAATAGAATGGAAAAACAGCAATAGCCTGTCATTTATCTCTACTCATTTAATCACTAAAGGGAAATAGAGAGTAATTTCATGTTTTGAATTAGGCTTATTGCCTTAAATTCCTGAGAAAGTGCTAAATAATCAACTCTGATGTTTATCTTAAGTTGTTGAGACTTTTGTTTATCCTTGTTTTTCCCCCACAAGTCATTGTGTAAGTGTAACGGAAAGTGTGTGCTGAGCGTTAGTGTGTATGTATGTGTGTACATGTGCCAGGTGCCTGTGCCCTCTGCAGGATGGTTTGCTTAATATGGCTATATAATTCAGTTTACACAGAATTCTTTATATTTTTAAACTTTATGTTTTGGCAAACACCATTCAGTTATGAGAATGTTGCCAAATATGACAGAATAATCCAAGAGCATATACAGAGAGTTACCACTTGACCGAGCTACCAATTGCAAATACAGTTGTTTTCATTTCATTTCCTACCAGAAAAAGAAATCAACAACCCAGTTTTAGAAAACACAAGCATAATTCCTCTTCTCTACTTCTTTTACACAAATACTTTTGTTTATTCTAAATTGAATTAAAAGTCTTTCCTAAAGCCATTAACTTTTTAATTCTCTTTATATGTCTTTACTTCCTATGAAGTTATTGATAGATGTTGAGGTCCAAAAACTGATGGAATATTCAAGATCTTTTTAAATGATCAATTTAACTATAATCACTTATTGAGTCTCTTTCTTCAGTCATATCCAAGTCAGGCATTTTTTCACATAGATCAGGACTTTAGCTCAGTCTTAAAAGCTATACTTTAGCAAAGCTCACTAAACACTATTCACCAGGTATGGGAATCAAATATAGACACTTGTTCGTCTTTGTTTTCCATTTCTATGTGTCACATACATGTGTCCTCTTATACTTTTACTCTTGAACATTATTTCAAAAACCTTCTTCTCACTGTATTTATTTTGTGTGTCGGAAATGTTTTCAGGCCATAGATCACTGTTATTGTTAATCTGTGGTTAAATCTCATTTCACTTCAGTCTTACCTGACAGTTAGAAACATCTCAGCCATTTCAGAGGCTGTACAGTATCAGAAGACATGGAGTTTGTTCTGTCTCTGCCTGTGGCTAATTATGGTGGTTCAGTCATTTAATAAATATGTTCTGAGCATCGATTTTGTGAAAGGCACTGTGTTACCTGTGTGTCCTTAGTGTCCTCACTGGCAAAATGAATAGGCTGGCCATGAGCTGGAAGGGTTACGTTTATAATTCCAGCTATTTCATATCAGTCTTCCTTGAATGAATGATAGTGACAGATATAAAAACACTGTAAGTCCCTCTTTTAATAACCTAAAAGCAAGAACATCTTGTACTTCACTGTTCATAAATTAGTATGGCATTCGCTTTGGTTTAAGTGATGGTTTATTAAAACCCCATTTAAAGAACCCATGAAAAGAAGCTCTTTGATGCCTCGGGGTACATACATGTTGGTGTGGTGTGTGTTAGTTCTGTGAGTGAGACACATCAGTTCTAAAAGAAATGAGTGAAGTTCTGGTGCCTAAGTTACTACACTTTCTTCTAGTTCATTTTTTGTTACAGTAGCATAAAATCAAAGATTCAAAGTGAGATGGAGGACATAATTACTTTTTAATACATGTTCTCAAACATTTGAAAATAAAGGTATATGATAGAAATGGGCCAGGGTGTGACTACAATTCTTATCATACTGTCTTTCAGTAAAGACAACTTTTTCATTGGTAAATTTGGTGAAATTCGAAATTCAGTATTTTTCTAGAGATGTATCAACCAAAACTTCTGGCAATTCCCAGTATCACTTCTTATCTTCTATATCCAAATATCTGTTTGTTACCTTTCTTAATTTTAACCAATGTGTACTTATTACAAATTGCACCCCACAATGGCCAAAAACCCACTGTATAATAAAATTTACAAATACCAGCTAATAATAATTATATTTTAAGTAGCAATTGATATAAAATAACAACACAGTGAAAAAACTTGGTAATCTCTTAGCAATGGAAATAGGTTTTAACCGGTATTTTTTCTGGGTGCTTTGTAACTATCATTTTACAAAGATAAAATTCCTCCTGAATTGAGGATGTATTACGGTATAAATTGGAAAAGTTTTATTTCCAAAGAATAAAACAAGATTACCTTTCAGTAGTACAGACTGAAGTAAATGTATTAATATTTTAATCAATACAAATTTACTAAGAATAGTTAGAAAATTGAGTAAGTGCCTGATTTACAATTTGTTAGGTACTCATTTCTGTATAATTCCTACATAGACATTTAGAAATCTCCTGATATTAAATTATTAAATTGGGATTCATGAGAAGAGAAGCTACAATTATAAATGCAGTTTGCTAAATCATGCATAATACTCTCTTTCTCTCTCTTCCCCCACAAATAATCCCTCTACCCCTATTTCCAGATGCAGCTCAAACACACACACACACACACACACACACACACACACACACACACACACAGAGTCAGTTACTGAAAAAAAGAATTTTTTTAAAAAACTTCTTAATATGGAATGTCGCTGTTGAGCCCAGGCTGGAGTGCAGTAGCGTGATATTGGCTCACTGTAACCTCTGCCTCCCAGGTTCAAGCGATTATCCTGCCTCAGCCTTCCAAGTAGCTGGGACCTCAGGAGCCCAGCATTGCGCCTGGTTAATTTTTGTATTTAATAAAAAGAATTCTTTTTGTTCAATTAACTGTTCTCTTGAATTCGAATTAGGGGACTGCCAATGTCAATAGAATATTTTTTAAATACTTTCTTGTAACCTGTGTAAATAATATACAATTTACAGGATTTGGGGTTGTAGAATTTAAACTGGAAGATTGGATTCCTCATATCTCAGGACTACAATATTCCAGATAAATTTTTACATTCCCTTTGCTATATATTAACTGATGATCATTTATATGTTAAGATTTTTTACTTTAATATTTCTAATTAGAACTCTTATTGCCCATCTAATATTTTCATAGGCAATCAAATGTAACACTGTTAACAGTATGATTTATTAAAAATGATTATATAATTACATTATTCGGTTAGCCTTTCAGCTTTCACTTTTCTCTGTGCTAACAAGTAACTAATGTCTGGGCATTGACTTCTTACTGAATCAAAGTCGGGTTAAGAAATAGCTATGCACACCTGATGTGTAAGATTAAAGAAGATATTAAATAAGAAACCTTGGGTACGTCTGACTTTTCTGTAGAGATCTTTTTTGCCCCCTGAGTTGTATTTTAAATGTAGTTTATAAGTGATAAAATAATCCTTATTTTCTAAAAACCAGTCCTTCTCTTCAGTTTTCCACACTAGTTTCTGTAAATGTTTTAGCTGAGAATTTAATACTTGTACAGTCAATGGCAATTTTAAATATATATATTATATATGTATATGGAAAAAGTGTAAAGATGCTTTTAATTTATTTAATGACTATTGCCTTCCTATAATGATAATAATTTTCATCCTTAATTATGATAATAATTTTAGTTAAAAAATCCTTTTTGCTACAGTTTTTAGATGCAAAATGCAGTTTGGTTCTTTAGGCAAATCCACTTAAAGGATATATTGCAGTGAAACTGTGACGAATACTTCACTACCAATGTATAAGCTTTGTTGAATTTGTATCATTTTCTTTCAGTAATGAAAAGCTGTTCATTATACAGTATGAAAATAAAAATTGCTTCATTGACAATTTCCCTATTCATTTTTACTTATTGGGAAAGACTGTATTTCCAGACACAAGTGTGCTGCATTTGAAAAGAGATAATAAAGCTTACACATAGAGTTGAACATTTTCAAATTCTAAATGGAGCATCAAAACTTACTATTAACATAACATGATTAACATTGTAAAATAATATTGAAATACATACATCAGGAAAAATATATTTTTTAAACTTGATAAACTCAACTTAAATTGTTTCATATTTTCCTTTCTTTTTAAACCAAACACTCCATGTTTTATAGTTGGAGACTTTTTCTCTCTGGATGTCTGACTCACTATTTTGACAGTAACTTATTTCATCTATCGTTTTTACCCTATCCTCTTCTTTTAGAATGATAAGTATCTAAATTTAATTAACCTTATCATTGAGATCTATTTTTAGCCATTTTTGTTTAGGCCATAGTTTTTTCTTTAAGGAAAAAAAATGACCTGATATAAAGAAATAAAATATGCTTTTATATTATTTGTATTATTTTAATCATCTCTGTAACACTGTGTGTAATGTCTGAAACTACAAGGAAATTTTAAAGATCATCTTGAACAAGTTCCTTCACTTCTCAGTACATCATTTATCTCGCTTATAAAATGGGCCAATAAACTTTCTGCTTCATAGGGTTGTTACAAGTTTTAATGAAACAATTCTTGTAAATGAGTTAACCAAGTGTCTGAAACAGAATAAAGACTTGGTAAATATAAACTGTTATTATTTTTACTATTATCTAATCTAGTCTTTCCATTTTCCAAGTGAAGAAATGCAGACATGCTATGCTATAAGACTGAATGTCCACCCATCATGCCTCCCTTTGGAACTGGCTCTCACCAACAGGAGTGGGTTCCCTGACACATGACAAAAGTGGGCATCTGTCAGAAATAAGACCAATGTTAGTAAAGCTGGAAGGCTATTTAGCAGCATGGCTGGCAATGGAGGCTGTCACTGATTTTTAGCAGGCATGTAGAAAAGTTGTAAAAGGTAGTTGTGGAGAGAGAAGAGTAAATTGGGCATGGATAGAGAGAGCATTGGGCCGGCCAGGCACAGTGGCTCATGCCTGTAATCTTAGCACTTTGGGAGGCTAAGGTGGATAGATCACCTGAGGTTGGAAGTTCAAGACCAGCCTGACCAACATGGAGAAACCCTGTCTCTACTAAAAATATAGAATTAGCTGGGCATGGTGGTACATGCCTGTAATCCCAACTACTCACGATGCTGAGCCAGGAGAATCACGTGAACCCAGGAAGCTGAGGTTGCAGTGAGCCAAGATCACACCATCACACTCCACTCCAGCCTGGGCAACAAGAGCAAAACTCCAAATGAAAAAGAGAGAGAAAGAGAGAGAGAGAGAGAGAGAGAGAGAGAGAGAGAGAGAGAGAGAGAAGATGCTCTGTTTCCTGATGATATTTTAGTTTCTGTGCCTTTTTCTCATAAATTGAACTTCCTGCCCTTGGATTACATAGGCTATCCCTGAAAACTCAACAAATTACCCACTTGTATTTATGCTGGTTTAAGCCAATATCCGTAACTTGCAACCAAAACAGTCTTGCCTATGACATAGTGGACTAAGTATGCCCAATTTCATAAGACTAGCTGCTGGAAAAATTGGTATTAGAATCCTTAGTAACATTACAGAGAGAATGTGGTATTTGAAATCATACCATCTTGAGTTTGATTTCTGGTTCTATCAGTTACTAGCAGAGTGATGTATGACTCTGAGGAATATTGATGGAATCATCATACTTTCAGGGGTAGCCAGTTTCGTGACTGATGAATACTTCCAAAAGAGTTGCCTCAGTTCTCATGCCAGAGGATTGTCTTGAAATACCATTTAGAATTGGTCTTTGTAGCTATTAGAAGATATGGTAGAGGTTAGGGTTAAGAATAAGAACATTGAGCACACATTCGCTTAGTACTACCAAGGATTGTTCATATTGTACAAAACTCAATTTTAATGGGTAGAGATGTGCTTGATGATATAAAGTATTAATGCCCATAAAGAAGTTAGTTATATATGGCTATTAACAAGTGAGTATCAATCAGTAAAATGAAAACATATTCACATAGGATGCTATAGGGTTATATATTTATATCCACAACACACAAAATGTAAGAACCCATGAGCCTTCCCTTCATACTCTTTTGTTCACAAAAAGGGGATGTTCTCAAAAAATGTTATTTAAATTTTAATTTGGGTTGTATTTTTTTTTCAGTTGCATTTGAAGCAACATCAGAATCTATGGAAATGCTACACTCTGAACTTGAGCACTTCCCTAAGTTCCTTCACCTTCTGGAAGTCTTAATTTTCTTCAAGTGGTCATTAAAATTCCTTTTTTAACTCTAGTATACCAGATTTCATGATTCAAACATCCATATTAAATCACAACTCATAAACATTTTTCTCCTAATTATGT